GCAAGCGAGCTCCGACTCACCGTTGTCAAGAGGCGGAGGGCAGACCCTGATGATTGCATTGATGTCGTCACCCAGGCCCACCACGGAGACAAAGGCCTCCAGTACATTGAAAGCACAGTACGCATTCGTCGCCTCGCGAGCTCGCTTCGCCTTCTTGCTTGCCCTGTAGGCAATGATCTCGTCCTTGGTCAGCATGTCACGGCCAGCATCCGCAGGGTTTGCCGGCAGCGCTCGATCCTGCTTCTGGTCGAAGTGATGCGAAAACTTGTGCCCGGTGGTCTTCATGGCCTTCAGCACGATCTTCTCGGCCAGCTTGCGCTTCTTGACGCTCTTCAGCGCGTTAGCCTTCAGGGTCATCTGCGCATCCAAGTCTAGGTCAGATTTGCCCTGGAACTCGCCGAATTTCAAAGGATCACACTTTGTTGCGCCAGGCCAGGCCATGACTGCGACGACGCCCAGGCCCAACGCTACAACCAAAGCCACATATGGAGCTAGAGGCATCGCCCACTGGTCTCCTGCCCTGGCCCAAGTGCGGGCACTAGGCGAAGGTGGACGTCGTTCCGGTTCCTTCAACTCCTCCTCAGACTCCACAAGGACAGCTTCGAAAGGCTGGGCCATGATGGTAGGATCCAAATCCGCGATGGTGTAGGGGACGTTCGCGCTGGGGCGTAGCAACTTGCAAATGCAGCTTGAGCGAACCCAAGTATATATATACACGCTAAAATGTATCACAACGGGAACAATTAGTAGTAGGGGGCGGGGGTTGTAGTATTCAGGGGAGATGATTACATCTAATTTTCTACCCACTTGCTAACTCCCCCTTCCCAGTGAACCAGAGTGCGGCACGCTTGTTCACTCTTGCCCTAGGTAAGCACACTATGAAATACTAGTGCTATCTATAATAAGAACATAGGGATCTGTAGGATTCTAGGATTCTAGGCCTTTAGCAATGTGTAACTTGGGTTTCCGCTACCTAGCTCCTTCCCCAAAAGAAGCACCTCCTTGCCGGCAACGATCTGGAAGCTAAACGCCAATTTCTCGTCCTCCGGCTGTATTGAGGAGATACAGGGACCTCTGTGGATTTATGTTTATAGAGGTACACACCTGTATATATATAAACATATACATATATATATATATACATATGTATCTACATAAATATGCATATATATATATATACACATATGAACATATATGGGGTTACGTAGAGACATTGAAGACTTTTGATACCAATTGAAACTTTATGTGTATATATATATATATCATATACATATATAGACACTTACCTATGTATCAAGCCCTAAACCCTAAGCCCCAAACCCTAAGCCCTAAACCCTAGGGGTATTTTAGCTTTGCCATGTTTTGCTGATGGCCAGGGCTGGGCTCCTCAGATCCTCGGATCATGACCGCAAGCCTTAGCAGGTCGACGGGGTTTCAGGGCTAAGGGGTACAGGGTTTAGAGGTTCAGAGTTTAGGGTTTAGGATTTAGGGTTTAGGGTGTGGGGTTTGGGCCTATTAGGGCTGGATGTAGAATACTGGAGAATCAAACAGAAAAGAAGCCGGCAAATGAGATGGAAACCGAGATGATACAGGATTTAGTCTTCAGGACTTGAGATGGCACCTTAGGAAACACTAGCATTATCTATGTTAGTAAGTATGGTATATATTGATACAGGTTATAACCTTAAGTGGATTCTGACCTTGGGTCAGACAGTTGCTCCAAGCCAGGGACGCGGTCGCAAACTCTATGAAACTCAGCTTGCCGTCATGATCGGTGTCGAACCTTGTTGCCACGTGGAATGCAAACAAACAAATTGCCGTTTGGGTACTGCCCCCGCCGAGCGGCAGCTGGATCATCATGATATGAATATCTCGAGCCCTGAATACGACCCCCATGATAGACTTTTACTCGGTGGAGGCAGGACACAACCTGCCATATACATGTGTAATCTCAACCACTTGCTCAGCATCCAACACATGGAACATCCGGTCGACCAGGAAGTGGTCATCCGTGAGGCCCATGACACCCATTGTTTGCTGGAACTGCTGCTGAAGCAAGTAGCCTGCAAGAGTTTGCGTTTCTCATGTCAGTCCTTGATGAAACTCATTGAGGCCTGAGGGCGCCAGCCGCCGAAAGCGAGCATAAAGTGCCTTCAGCCGCCGCAGCTTCCAAGTGGTACTAAGCAAGCCCAAGCACCCCTGTAACGACAAAACCGACTGCTTCTAGCAGGATTTAGGATGTCTGCAACTGAGGCATGCAAGCTGTCAGCTATCCTTGCATCTCCCAATCCGCATACGCTGGCCACGACTGAATGGTTTCCAGCTGCAAGAACTTCCCTTCTTGCAGGGCCCAGCAAGCGCCTTCACTTCGGCGGGCTGCAAACGTGTTGTCGATGTTATTTTCTGCAGCAGATCAGGGCCGATCACTGGGCTGCTGTCCAGGAACTTAAACTAAGTTACCATAGCAAATAATAGGGTTTCCTTACTATAGTAACTTAATTTAAGCTCCTTAACAGAAACCCAGATCATGGGAGTTGCAGAAGGGCTTCCGTCATGCAGCTGCAGGCACCGCTCGACATTCAATTCTTTTTCTCTGCCGTTGTGAGCAGCGTGCCACTTTGTGCAACTACCCCAGAAACAATACGGTGCAAAGAGAAATGAGCCATTGTCCAAACTCCCAATATCCCCCTTTATACCACCTATAAAACTCCCCTTTTGCAATACCCTTCGTAACCCCACTTCAAGGAGTTTAGACTAGAACTCAACTATGCTCTCCACACGATGCTCAACTACGCAGGACTTTGCAGGGTGTTCCCACTCTGATTGGGGAAGAAACCACAGGAGGTTTTCCGAAATATTAGGGTACCTCTTTTGTGGTCCCCAGGAAAGGGATTATAGTATTTTGGGGTCTATATTGGGGTGCCCCATTCTTGAGAATGTACTAACAAGGAACACGTGACTGCCGCACTGCGCCAGTAACGTCTGCACACATGCTCTTTGCCTGCCCGAGGCTTCACGGGTAGTCTTAATTGGAGTTATAAATCACAGCAGTCCAGTTACAATCCTAGCTGTCTTGATTACAGCCCTGCTACAAACTACCCACAAAGCCTCGTGTAAGGAACTCAGAGGAGGAATCCGCCTAAGCCCGAAACCCAAAATCCTAAATCCTAAACAACCCTAAACCCTAGACCTTAGGTGGACCCCCCACCCAGTAATAGTGGCTACAGGGGATAATAGGGATTATATTAGGGTCCTCTTATATTCCTATTATACCACTATTACAAGGTGGGGGGTCCTCCTAACCTAGACCGCGTGTGCACACATCGCAGGCTCATCTGGGCGGAGCTC